TGATGATACCGGTTTGAAGGTCTCGTCAAATCATGAAGAATGCCTACTAATTTTTTTACCTCAGCTCACATGTGAAGCCACCAGAGGTTACGGAAGGTAAAAAATTATTGCTCCGAGAGATACGGTTAAAACCTTTGTCCACACATCGAAGCGGATACTGAGGGCACGAAAATAAACTTTAAGACTGTTTGGAGCCCGTTCCAATCATCTGTGTTCCTCACATGGGTCAGGTCGGATTAGGTCACAGTTCAAAATTCCTTTACCAGTAGCCTTCATGAACGACCAAAGGGATCGTTATAATGTACTTCTGACTAAGTTTGTTTTATTAGATGCAACTGTGGTACAACAGGATTCCAGACATAAAGCTATCATTTAAGAGTGACACACAGGTCATCTGAGGTCAACTTAAGTCACATTTAGAAACCCTCAAAACAAAAAAGCTCAAGTGCTAACCGGGCCTATGTGACCAGTGCAATGCTTTTCTGCTGTCAGAAATAGTGTGATGTACATCCACGGGTACCCAAGACCACATTTGTTGACTAGATTATACACAGTCCCTTCGACGCTTGGTAATGCACTTGTGACAAATTGAGGCCAGTGCCGTTGGTAAATGATTAGACGTCATCAGCCTCACAGACACGATAAGGAGGTGGTTACACACGTCACTGTTACACACACGGAGGTGGTTACACACGTCGCACTTGTTTATCTAGCCTCTCTGCTACCGACAACCTAAATCATTTATCTTGAATGACCTCATATGACCTTGTATGTTCTCACATGATCTACTGTGACCTCGCTATGCATTAAAATGAAATCACAACATTTTTCAGGGGAGTATTCGAGTTCCGTGTCCAAAGTTACCAATGAAACCGCCTATTTTGAGCTCAGCATGCGTTTTGCAGCAGGTTCTTAAAGGATAGGTTGTGGTCTTGGCCAAGGTCATGTGCTTTGTATCCATATGATGGTTGTGCATGTAGGTAGCGCTCTTTTCCCATTTACAAACACCTTAATTACACACACATACGTAAAAAATTATATTATCTACGCAAAATAGCCAAAATGTACCTGACTTCAGGGTGATTGCCTCGCATTTTCCAAAAAATCTGAAATTTACGAACTGTAGGTGCATCATATTTGTATTGCTATATGAAGTTTGTACAGTGTCTAATGGCGCGCAACAAAGTTATGTGCGGTCAAATATTTTTGGAGGTAAACATGTTCGACCCAGCCTGGACCTTGGTCGAAAGGCTTGGTAGATCAAACCTTTAGATTGCACAAACGATGCCAAATGGTAGATAAATAGGTGCTGAAAATTTCGTGTTGCTGCGAGCGTTGGTTTTGACCTGTGCTCGAAAAATCGTGCGGGGAAGTCTGCCCCTACTGTTGCGGTTTCCCCGGCCGGGCGCAGGTTAAGGTGAGCTACTCGAGGTTGGAGTTGCAATAGACCCAATGCGCCATGAGTCGGGGTCAAAATGAGTTTCGGTGAGGCGGAATCAAGCATATGCCTGCATGGTAAAACTTAAAACCGGCAGACTGCGTGATCAAAACGTAATGCCGGTATATTTTGCCGTTTGCTACACCAGCGCAAAAGGCTTCGAGGTTTCGAAGCAGCCGCAACGGCATGTCGTCCGCGACGATCAGCGCTGTAAGGCACGGGACGGGTCGGGCTCTGATCAATGCTTCAGCAGCCTTGACTGGCTTCTAACGCTGATTGACTAGTGAACTCTTTCAGATCCGCTCTCTTCCGCTTGAATCCGCGCGCCGTCAGCACAACACAAGACGACGACATCGATCAGTCACCACCGTGCCGCCGCGAGCCACACTCCCAGCTGCACTACGATAACCGCCTGCTGGCCGACATCGCCTTCATGTGACAGCGCCGCCAGCCTGTTCACGTCCAACTCCAGCCGGAAACACTCCGCCAGCTGTTTCAAACTTCCATGATTCTCGTTCCAGCTGTAGGAACAACATGCCATCTTGCGTAAAGGTGCCAGAGTAGCATGCTGTGACGGCCATTACATGGTTCTGATCAGCAGGTGTCTGATCAGGTGGCCACAGGCGACAGTTTTAACACTTTGAGCCTGTTCGGAGAAAGGGAATATCCTTTTTCACCAGACCAGCTCCCTATGAAATAAATGCATCATTTTGGCATAGCATTCATTAGCATTTTGTATCCTTTTTTCCTCTTAAGCCCATTCGTTTTTGGTTAATTGAAACACAAGATCCCGTATGCTGTGTAAGGCGATGCTGTGAAACCAGTTAGACCAATTAGTAGTCCGATTTGTTTTCGGGATATTTTACGGCGCTCGGAAAATCCAAGATAGTAGGTGAAGTGACCTCCTTCAAAAGTGTATCGTTGTATGTTTAACCCAAGAGTGTTCAGTCATCTTGTATCATTCGTTATTTCATGTTCAGGACCTTGGAAGGCGATTTACCGCATCGAATTGTACAAAACTGCATATATTGTACAATATATTTTAATATTATATATTAATAATCGTACAAATTGTATAATTGTACAAAGCCGCATATAGGCTCAAATAACCGGAGTTTGAAAAACACTTTAAACTGAACACAAGCACGGAAAGATTGTAATTGCAGGTTGAGGGAAATGTTGAACTAAAATTATTCAAATTCAAGCGTTCCTTTCCAGTTCCAGCGGTTAATCTAGCGAAACATAACAGTAACAGGTAATATTATATCACTTGAACAAAATGAGAACGAATTTACCAATGCAGGGATAACAGACGTAAGCTAATTGACTGAAAACGTCGATGCATTCAAAGTGCTCGGATAGCACGGTGTTGATAAGAGTACCAAAGCGCATATGATCGACTGACAGCTCTTCAATGAACATGATTGGGAAATTGGAGGACAATTAAGCTAATGAAAGTGTCTTTGGGGTAATACGTCAGCTCCAATGTCTTTGGCGAGATATGACGTCAGAAAAGTGTTTGTAGCGCTCGTTTTGTCCATTTACCCATCTACTGCCGCTGTTCTTGTTTGGACTACACTGATCCCTGTCGCAACAATTTTAAGTGAAAGCCAGTACATGGCGACTCCTCAATTTAATGACACCCAAAGGTTCAATTAGTTAGCAGGTTATGATGTAATGAAGACTAAACATTACCATTTAGGTGCCAGCTTTGGCCAGTAGGTCAAAGTAGCTTTGCGTATTTCTGTTGGATGCATCGCTTTGCACAAACGCTCAAAACACGGAAGACGCAGACACTGCTCCACAGACACCAACACCTTTCGCTGGCTGGGGCTCTGTTCCTCCGCCCTTGAGTCGTAGCGGGGGTGAGTCGGGCAGCCCATCGCTACGTCAGAGGTCCAGACAATGACTGGGGTCAGTCCGCTCAGGCTGTGATTGGAGTCAAAGGCTTACGCTGAAATCGGAGTCACGGGTACGGGCCGGGACCCGGATCAAAGGCCAGGTGGGACTGGGTCAGGGGTTCAGACCGTGGGCGTGGTCAGACCGTAGCTCCGCTCCACTGGTACCGCGGCCTATGCGAGTGGCCGCGATGAACGGCGATGCATGGAGCCAAGGAATATCATGCGCACTGACATGTGGCTGTGATCGTGATTACGTTGCGGTGACTTACGCGATAGCGTATAGCAAGATTTAAGACAAAGTAGATAGACCACCAGCTGCTTCGACTTTCAGTGCTTTTTGGGCAAGCGTGCTTTCAGTGTGTATATTCAAGACTACCTCCTCGCAAACGGCGGTCAGTTGAACGACGTTTTTC